TTCATAGTATACTCCACCTGGAAGAAAAAGTTACTGATTATTCACTGGATACTGAATACATCTATTTCAAAATGTAAGAGCGAGATATGTTGAAGTCATTGAACTGACAATCCAGTGGCGTTATCAATTACTTTCAAAGTTATAATTTGTTGTGTTAAGTGGTTCACTTTGTAGCAAATTACTGTTCCCTCCAATAAAGGCATCCAGGATCTTTACAGCTGACCAAAAAGATCTATGAGACAACTGAAGGCTTAAAAGAAATCTTGGATCATAATAGGATACAAATTAGTCCACAAACTGTAATAAATATTTTATCCGACCGTCCAATTTCCATTTATCTTTGTATGAACCTTTCGGCCTAAAGATCGTATATGATTACAGAGAAGGGCGTTGCAGACTACGAGATGTTATTGTCTATTTGTTGAGGAGGATTATTTGAATACAATTTTCTTACGCTGAGGACTGATTGCTGCATTCAACCAGCCTTTTTAGTGGAATCACCTTAGATAAACTTAGATTGACATTTACATATCATTTATTCACAGACATGACTATTAAGATGAAAATGTAGCTATGGTCTCAGGTGCTGTTTAGTCGATATAGTGGTGAGTCTGTAACGCACAGGTCTTCACCTTCAGTTCCATCACTACCCCATATTTTCGTTTCAATGTCAATCATAATCCCAATAGTTTAATTCTGATATTCGATTTGGCTTTTGGTGGTGAGAAATTAAAGCACCCACCTTCTTTAGTTCAGGAATATCTAATTAAATCGAATTGATTTCGTTTAGTTGTTTGTTCGAAAATTTCAGTCCGGATAACTTCTCTGACAGTCGGCACTTTTTATGTGAAAAGAACTGCTTATTGTTTTAGCTTTTACTTTCCTGTTGTTATTGGAAGATCAAACGTAATAAAATGTCTAATGAAGTTTTATTAACATTATAGGTGGCTGTCCAGCACTTCATGCGATAGATCCTGAATTCAAACCACCATGAGGTATACAACGTCAAGATGTGAATATATTAAAAAAGTTGGTCTTAATTTCATGTGTTGGAGTGTTTGGACTCCAATGGTTTAGAGATAGTTGATGGAGTGAAATCATTTGGAAGGCTACTGAAGGTCAAGAAGCACTGGAGAGTTGTTTTGTTCCAGTTTAGGGCTCTTCATCAGGATGCGTCAGTGATCCCACTGGAGATTAAATCTAAGACCCCCAAGTCAAGAGGTGGCCCTCTAACGGTTCATCCCCGGGGTCAGAATCCATCAGATTATAAATTCTGACTTCTATTAGTCCGCGATATATATTATTTTATATTACTTTATTATTTTGATTACAGCTTGATTCCACACTGTATTTTTGGTACAAGTATGGAATTTTCAGCATGTGATATTGGTAGCCCAAATTTTGCAGGCCGACCATTGATGTCAGGTGTGCGTCGGCAAGGGATCGAACCCCGGACCATATCCATGGTTGGCGAGAGTCCTAACCGCTGTGCCACCGACGCACATATTGTAAAGACATCACTAGCCGACTTCTTTTGTGCGTATTATATGTCCTCACACTTGACTTGGATGACCCCAGTGGTCATGTATTCCCACAAGGACTTCAGACAGCTTCATTCTATGGTCACTCACTAGTGAGCACATCAGATTAATTCAGACAGAACAAACACACTTTAGTTTCGACTAGTGAATGTCATTCAGCACCATTCTTTACTTAATAATTTTATTTTCAGTTTAACATGTTCTTTGGTTAATTATATTTATGTAGGAACTTATAGAAATCACATTTTAGTGGAAAAATACCAGACTATATGTAAATGTGCATATAATATGTAGCACTGTTACTCACTTTATTTTGTAATTACCATATTTGATATGTAAAAATAATTGAAAAGTTTTTATTGATATGAAATGGTTCATAAGACTGAGATAATACCGTTAGTCTGAAAACAAAGATTAATTAAGAATGATATGAATAAATAATACAATTCGAATTCGACTCCTTTTACATATAGTTTAGGGGTACAGAGAACGCCACAACCGATATCGCAGCTGTTGAAAAATCGGCAAAACACCTTCAAAATCAGCCAAACGTAAAGTGTGATGATATGATTACAGTATTCCTTTATGTACATAATACAAAATCAAATAAGACCTACTGTCTAAAGTGGAACTCTAATCGTAATCAACCCTCTCTGCTTTGTCTTATCAAGGAGGCAGAAACCATAAGGGGGTAAATTTGTACTACAGATTGTTCATATACTCACAGTCATATTTACACTCTGCAATGTAATACTACCATAATATCCTGTGTAGAAAGGCAGTAGATGATATAAAATTCTGTCTTTCTATTCTCTGTTTCAAGTAGGCGTTACGTTTAATACTTCTGTCTGTTTAAAAATAAATGCATTTATTATGTATGAGCAAATGAGAAGGCGACTTACACAACAACAACAACAACAACAACTAAAATAGTGTCTGACATATCTTGTCTTCTATATATTTCACCATATTTTAATGAATGTTAACGATCTAAAACCTAATAAATTATTCTTGTAGATGCATGGTAGTGATGATTGTGGGAAATCAAAAATGTGAAATTGTGATGAAAGAAATTTAACTAAATATGTGTGTCTGAAGGAAAAATGCCTCAAATTTAACTAGACACTCTCGTCATCAGTGAATGTCAATCAAAAATCTCGTAAAAGACGAAGAAAAAAAAAGGGGGGGGGAAATTAGCATTTCCTATCAGTCTGATGTTTTGTTAATACATATATGCAAAAAAACGGTAGTTATCTTTTCTATATTACAAAAAAAATGATGTAATTTTACTTGATAAACACTAGTGTATTTCACTTCTTAAACTCCCAAAACATGTTTATTGATGAAAGTTTAGTTTATCAGTCAATTTGGTATTATTTAATTCAGGTTTTTCATGATGTACCACAGTGAAAAGAAATTTGTGCTTCATATTTAATGATCTTTCATGCTTTTCAGAATTCATTTTCAAAAATATCACCAATACATTAAAAAATTTAGTTTATACTGTCAACAGAGACCAAATCAATAAAGGGGAGGGGGAATTTAAATTAACTGAGGCAAATTTAATTTCTACTGATCACGAAATTACATTTTGATCAGTATGAAGAGAATTGTTATCTATCTTCCGAAAAGTTATAAAAAAATTTGTGAAACTTTACGACTAAAAAGGAAAATTAAATTTAAGTTATTCGAGTTACTCAATAGATAAAGTGGTCAAATGATGTACAACTGTAGAATGAGGTACCTTTTAGTTGAATTTATTTAAAGGCCAGTGGAACCATTCAAAACATTGCCTTTTCTCCATTCATTTCGTTGGTTGTCAGTTAAGATTTTCATATCAAACAAAGGATGACTTAATTCGATTGGTCACTAGGTAGTAACTAATGTCAAGCGGTTAGACATTGGGTTGGTGCAGGCTTTGCAATGTAGTCGCAATACCGGGTGACGAGTCATTGTGGTATAAACTGAATTGGTGTCAGATGGCTTGAGGTAATCGGAGAGGACATGAGTTCCACCAAGATTGATAATAAATCTTACTGATGAGTGCCAACAAGCAAAAACCTAGGTCCAGAGCTTCCTGCCGATTGCCTTCAATCATCTAGAGGAAAACTTGTTTGTCATCGGTGGTCTATAGTTACTGATACATCTATAGTATGTATTTCATTTTATCCCAAATGTTTAGTCATTTAAAAAGCACACTTTATCAATTTATTTACACATACTTGTAATGTCATGTGAAATGAATGAAAAGTAACGATTTATACTGACTGTAATCTATTATCGTGTTTGCAGTTGCACAACAGTGACATCGATGAGCATTTTTATAAGTATTTTCAAGAGTTGGTTTGTAGGACTTTGATTTGTTTCTCAGGTTTGTCCACAGACAAATGCTGGCCGGTGACACTGGCTAGTGGTCACGCTAAAATCACGCATTCTTTGATTGGACAGTAGTAGCTAGTGTGATGTGTCTAGTCCTTTCTTTGGCGCAGACTGAATTCTCTCAGTCAGGTTTGCAATGTGGCCACCATTCTAGGTAGCTCACCATCACGGTGTACACTGATTTGATGATGTTAGATGGTGTGAGGCAACTGGCACCCACGTCACCCACTAGTAACTAGTTTCCAATCAAAGTAGCCAATGAAGTCCTACAGAAGGTCAATCACGAGCCCGAATCGCTCAGTGGTAACAACTCTGAGTGCAGGCGTCACTGGGTTACGCAGGTTCGAATCTCAGAACGGAGATGAGTTCCTTCAAGATTGCGGATACGCCTTGCTGACTGGTAAGCGCCAACTAGCACGAAACCTAGGTTCAAGACTTCCCACTGATTGCCTCCAACCATCTAATATCATCAAAATCAGGAATTGATAGAAGTTAGAATTCATAGGCCACTTATAAGTATCACAGATGGTCTTATTAGCAAAGCAATAATTTCAGAAGTTATACAAAGACTTAACTGACTTTAGATTTAAAATTTATTCTTACAAACTACATATGAATTCTGATTAGCCTAGATTTATGCTAGGGCTAAAACATGTGTGCGTCGGTGGCACAGCGGTTAGGACGGTCGCCAACCATGCACATGGTCCGGTGTTCGATCACCGGCAGACGCACTCCTTTACCTCACTAAGCCAGAAATAATGCTGGTAAAGAGGAAGGTTGGGCATGAGTCTGGCAACCCTATCCTGTAAAAAATTAAACACTGCTACAGAAACTTCAAGCCAATACCTTGAAGCCGTGTGTTCCACTGGGAACGTGAAGGAATAAAAAAACATCTGAATGAAATATGTACACGCAATCTGTTGTGCGCTATGTCTTCTTATGGTTTCCTAAGAAAAGAAAATAGAAATTAAGTGCGTGAAATACAGAAACAATTTTAAACCTTTTGTACCAAACATCTTTTTCGTTAAAACCATTTATCACATTTCCACTTAACTATTGTAATTATTTTCATCCTTACAGATATAGTACAGTTATTGATCTACTATGGTGCTGATGTAAATTTATCGGGACCAGATGGTAGAACTGCTCTGCGTGCTGCTGCATGGGCTGGAAATGTTGGTACTGTGAAATGTTTACTTAACGCTGGTGCTGATGTTAACAAATCAGATTCTGAGAAACGTACGGCATTGATTGCTGCAGCTTACATGGGCCATAAAGATGTTCTGGAAGTCCTACTTGAAGCAGGTTAGTTACTAATCACAACTGTTAATATTTTCTTTCGTAGTTTGTTGTTCAGGTCAAGTGAGGTTTAATAGTGACTGGATCATTTCAGCTTTAAACCTGACATCTGTAAGTGGTATTTTATGAGTCAGATCACGAAATGAAAGTATTTAAAGAAAACATGGAAGTATTTGACAGCTGACTCATCCTAGTTCGGGACTCTTCCGTGGTGTGCTTCCATGATCCCATCGGGGTTTGAACCCAGGACCTTCAGGCCACTAGGCAAGTAATTTACCATTTAACCACTAAGAAAGAATCCAACAGCTCATGGATTTTAACAACTACAATTTTTTCAAGTTCTTGCGTAGACACATAAATGTAAATGTCCTGTGCATGACATGGATGAATTTGTGAGTTTCTTACCTTGTCTAAACTTCCGGAAGATAATCAAACGTAAATAACGCATATACTCTGAAGAACGAAAAAGTCTAATTTCAAATTGTTGACTAAAGAAGCTATTCAACGGGTCCGATACAATAAAGTGTGACATTTTTTAGAAAAAATATTTTAAAGATTCCATTTTGATAATTACAGAACACGATTTAAGCAAGCAAATACGTATATTTGGTAAATTCTCATCAGGCTTTACATTTACATAATGAAATATTAGTCATAGGCATTTGAATTAACTCGGTTAATAGGATATAGTATCGAAGTTCAGGAATGTGAGTTAATGGATAACAATCAAGGTGATTATAATAATGATAACAAGGTAAATTCATTCAATTGTTTATAATAATGTAATAATGACAATGATTAAGTGGGAAAACCAAAAATGAAATGTCCAACTAGAGCACAGAATGATATTGATAATACAGTTAGCATTACAATTAAAATAAAATAAGAACATAATAAGATAATACCTACAATTATCCCGTGTCACTGGGAGAGATAACTAATTTATATTTGGGGATGACGACCAAGGGAGGAAGAGGGACTGAGCAAACTTTTTCTGAACACTGAGATTGCGTTGAGAAATCTTTATGCCAACTGCCTCAGCTAAGCTTAGCAACCGAAGACGTAGCAACGTAGGGAGTTGAAGTGGTACCCTGTGTAAAATTGTAAAAGCTGAATTTTTGTCAATTTTGTGCTCCACTTAAAATGTTTGAAAAATTATTATTATCATCACGATTTGTTATTTTCTGTCACCAATGGCCTTTTTCTGTTGTTGTTAAAATTAGGCACTTAACATGAGTGGGCACTTTTTTTTGCTGAAGGGATTAAAAATAAAACGAAATACAAAAGAAATATCTTTGTCCAACAAAAATAGCCACTGTATGATGAATGCTTGACTGTTTTAGCTGTAAAATTTTAAAAACTACTTTGCGATTTGTTTTTGCAATAAAGTAAAAAGGTTCTGCTTTTCAGTTACTTTGATTTACTGTTTTTGCAAGAAAGTTATTTAATAATATGAACTAAAATTGATACTTTTTAAGCTGTAATAATGTTTAGCTGAAGAATATTCATTGAATTGAATTTTTTGATTTTCCCGTCGATTGATTGGACCGAAGTGCTCGGTCTCAGGTTGACATGTCGGCTTCTTGTGCAGATCAAAAAATTCATTTCAATAATTAATATGACCCGTTGCACAAGAGGCGGCTCTCGTGGCCCAAGTGGTCTAGTGGATAACGCTTTGGCGTTTGAAACTATGGGTACAGGGTTCGAGCCTCGGTGGGAACATCATCACTCACTGAGAAATGCAGATACATCCAGCTGACGAGTCCCAAATAGGACGAAATGCGCATCCTGGATTCCACTGCTAACCACCATCCACCAATTAGAGAATATTCATCTTTATACAAGAATTTAAGTCACTATTATTAGTATTCCATTGGGTTCCGAGTGGAACATAGGGCTTCAACAACACAACTCCACTTTGTCCTATCTTCTGCCGTCCACTCTAACTTGGACCACAGTTTCCCACCATCTCTAATCTTCTCCTCACATGATCTCCTCCATGTCACATTCGCACTGATGACCCATTCGTCGCTTCCCATTTGGATTCCACTCGGGTAATGATATGGCGCATGATGTCATTCGACAGCCTCCTCAATGTATTCCCGATCCATCTCTTTTTTCTCCTAAATATTTGCTGAACAATCGGCTTTCAGCTGGTTTGTCCCCAGCCAGCGTTCCTTCTGACTAATTCTTACTGATCGACTGGTCATTTGATCTTCAGTATGGAGCCAGCGAAGGTTGCAGCTGTTGATGATGCTCAGTGCCAGTTTCTGACCCGTAAAGAAGAAGTGACTTCCCATTTGCGTTGAAAATCCGAATTTTGTTCCTTATGCTGTGGCTGAGTGCAGAGGATTTCCGAACTGGTTTTAGTTTGATGAAGACGTATCTTGATATTCCGATTCTAGCTGCCTTTGACATCTTCATCCGTTCCCACTGCCTGTGATTGAAACCGCGCTTCCTATCTAACGGGAAGGTGGGAAGTAACCTCTGTTAAATCACTCACGTTGATGGTGATTGCTTCTGGTTGTTGTAGCTGTTGTTGATGTTCGTTGGTTATCTTCTCTTCACATAGAATGATTTCGCTTCTCTTAATTCATTAAAAGTCGTCTTGACTATCAGTTCTGTTAGGAGAAAAGAAGACAGGTGGTGCATAAGAGCTGCTTTTACAAGTCTTAAGGTGTACTAAGGACAAACAAAACTATTTAATTAATTATTATTTTTATTATAATATACACGATAAATTATGGTCAAAGTAAATCAATACTATTCAGCAAAAACTGCATTTGTTAACGAATAAGCATTCAAATATGCACGTAATGAACGAATACTATATGAACTAGTTATAGGACATGAGTGTGCAGAATTTTCGATGAATATTAATGTTATGTCTGTGAAATTTGTCAGCTATATCAACTTACGTAAACGTTAGACATGGTAATCTATCATGTTTATTTATGTATCATATTATTTGAAGATTTTGAGAAAATTAACCAAAATGTAACTTAAATTTGTCCTTTACAGTCCGCATCTGTCACTTTTGGTATTTTTAAGATACATTCCAAAGAGGTTGTGGATCTTAAGTGGTGAAAATTTTTGATTTCTTGCATTCTGAGTGTAACAAAGGTCTTCAGACGTTTTTAAAATTACAGTAGCTTTGATGTTAATTTTTCTGCAGGGTCGGATTACTAAACACACACCCAATCTTCCTCGTTTTGTGGACTTAACTGTGGGTTGACAGGAGATAAAGCCCTGACCTTCAGTGAGGCTGAAGAGCATTCTACCCCCATACCACCAATTGATGTTGGTTCCCATACTGTATCAGATTTATTTTAAAATAAATAACATTGTCTAGTGAGAATATTGGAAATGTTACTCCCTCAAAAGCTATTTTCCTTTCCAGGTAGTTGGTAACGAGCCACACCCATTCTGTGTGTGGAGGACTAACTGTCTGCCTAAACTTTAGTAGGTATATAGGGTGAGATTCAATTCCATGAATACTCATTGACTGGAAATTAATCACGTGCACCAATAGACCACAGTCAGTGATGCTGTGACGTCAAATCTATTGCAGAAATTTAACCATTCTATTAACTTAAGTGGTGTTAATAAAAGTTAGCTATAACTATACAGAAATGCCGACTTTCTATGATACCTCTAATCTTAGTTATTCTGACACTTAATAATACTTTTATTTCAAAAGTCTCATGAAGTAATTTTCGATAGCGTTTCATACATACTATTTTGAGTCGTGTCAGTTCACTATTATACTGTTTGTCTCTCGAGCTGTTCCTATTCCAGGTAGTCAGATGACGGAATGCAATAAGGCTATAAAATTAATGAATCATTTGACTACTTTTATGAGGAAATTGAATTTCTCTAATCCACAGGATAATACAAATCGATTAGTAGAAACTCAGTATTCTTTTCTTCAAAAGATGGAAATAGATGGTATATTTTTCATAATATCACATATTTGATGTGTAAAGAGCAGACAGTTATTGTTTCTAGGATGTTCAAATAAATCAGTATTGAGTTTCGCATATAGCTTAGCAAATTCTTATGAGATAATATCGTATTCCTTAGCGTTTAAGGCGCAGAAGAAATGACTCGTCTTGGGTTAATTCTAATCACTTCAGTCAATTCAAATAATCAGAGATGATTTTAGTTTGGCGGGCATTATTCATAAGCATTAACAGCACTTGGTAGATGATGGTTTCAACTGATGTATCTAGACCCAATTTCTAATTATCCCATAGACAGTATATCACTGTGCTCCGTATTTTTAAAAATGATTTTATGGTTTTTAACTATTCATAATAATCACTACCATATACAACAAACACATCGTCTGTACGTGATTCCTCTGAAGTAGCTTTAGACAAGACAAGATGGAGCAGAACTTTCCATGAATTTTGTCAAATACCTAACATGGTATAAACAATTTGAATTTGATTAGAATAGAACAATGTGGGGCAGCTGATCCTCTGAAATTTAGCTTCTGAACACTATGCACACTTTAGACTACAAACTGACTATTCTGTTTGATACATTTGACAGCAAAAAAATAAATTAGCTATAGGTCTTAATGATTAAAGTGTTTCTGAGGCTGAAATCCAGGAAACTACACTTGAAATATTGTCAGCTAGTTTCAGTGCTTGCTAACTATAACGTCAAAGTTCAAATGTGTCAACACAGGGTTGTTCGGTTAGGTTTTAGATAAGTGGACTTTAATTTGATAGTGGTTATGACAACATTTTAGGTAAGATTATACGTTAGCTAAGGTAACAAATATTGTTGGGGAGCAGAATTTTGAACTGAGGGGCTGTTAGATTCTTTCCTGCTGGTTGAATGGTAAAGTACTCGCCTGGTGACTTGAAAGTTCTAGTTCCTCACTAGCATCATGGGTGCATCGTGCTAAGCAATCCCAAAGTAAAACGAAACCGTTGTCCAGTACTCCCTGGTTTTAAGTGGTTCTGTTATGGATATAGGTTCGTGATGAAATTCAT